CTATTTGTGTTCTCTTTTAACTTTGCTGCATTTCTAACTTTAAAGCTTGCCCTTGCTATGTTGTTAAGCAGGCATTTCAAACTACCTTATCAGACTAAAGGAGTTATTTATCACATCATGTTATGTTGTTAAAGGGAATACTGACATGATATAGGCAAGTCAAACCAGACACATCTAGGTTGGCACAACTATTAGAGCATACACTAAAAAGCCTGATTACTGCAAAAGCTACCCACAATTCCACTAGTAATGGCTAGTGAGATGACTAATTTTGAATGAATTAATTTTTCTCTGCAAGTTCAAGCATGCTAAAAAAAAATATCACTAGTAGGAATGATAGGCAGTGGCATTTACCTCTTTGCCTGCTATGGTAGTATGCAGGGCAGTAAAATCCTAAGCGTCCATTGTACCAACTTTATTGAAAGAGTGGTATGTGTAGCACTCTCCTACTGTAGGATGCTAGGTAAATTTAGTTTTTGGCTTCCTCTGTAATCAGGTGAGCAGTGATTGTTTAGCTTGGTGTGTTCAGGGTTTCACAGGCTGGGAGTTTGATTGCTTTCCTCTGCCTCTGAAAGAAGCTTCCAGAGCATAGAGAGGGAGATGCAAATAGCCAGCCTGAATATTTATCATACTCTAGAAAATCCCTGGAGAGGAGTGTGCATAAATGGGCTGGAAAGGTGGAATTGTCTGAAGCACTGGAAAGCTGGGTTCCTTCTCCCCAAGAGAGTTGCAGGGCCTGAGGGGCCGCTGCCCTCAGGTAGCCCGTGAATTGTGTATTGTGTGGCTGTTCTTGAGGCCTCAGGACCTGAATGAATCTCCTAAGAAGCTGGTTACAGGACCTTACCACAAGGAATCTGGTCTGGAGAGGATTGTCTCACTCACTGGACTGTGTCCAGAGTAAACTGGAAGTCAACAGCTGTCTTGGGGACTTATGAGTAAAAACCATAAATTTATCCCTGTGACTATGCAGTGTTTCTGGAAATCACATTGGCTACCAGTAGTTGTGCATAGTTGTAAGGTAACCAGATGCCAAAGAAACTTGCCTCTTGGTCTTCAGCTGTGAGGCATTAGACTGCTTAGAAACTTGCCTCATGGTCCCCAGCTGTGAGGCGTTAGACTGTCCAATACTCACAATTACTTAAGTTGGGTACACGCTGTCCAAAAATTGTCTGGTATAGCAGGAAACAGCCAACTTTCAGTCAGTGTGTAAAGCAGTCTCTCCTACAGAAGCTGTTCTAACAACTGGCTTTTGTCGAAGGCACATGCTGGAAAACTAGTATCCAATCACTACTCTCACAGCCAATGGCTGAGAGGGCTGATCATGCATTGTGGCGGGGGGGGGGGGGGGGGCAGAGTACAGTGGAGAAGATCGGCATACTAACATTGCATGTGTTGTTACAGAGATCCGTCTGGTTTTTTTTTTTTTTTTTTTTTCATTCAACCCACTAGATTGAATGAAAAAAAAGAAAAAACCCTGCAGTGTGTACTGGGCTTTAAGGAGAAAATTGTCCTCTAGCTGCTATGTTATAATCATTTTGGAGCATCCCATGCTTCAACCCCTCTACTGTAAACGTTTTTCAAGAACTACATCTTATTTTTACTTTATTTTTTCAAGCTTTATTGCAGATTAACTTCCAATAAAAAAAGGAGATGGAAGAATACTCAAAGAAGCTTTAGGACCTTGTTTTTTCTCAGCAAACAGTCTTTGATGAATCTTCAGACTTTTTGCTGTACCCGTTGCATGACTATAGCAGTAGACCAGTGGAGATTCAGACTAGAACTATAGCAATATCCTAAAGTGTTCTCACCTCTTATGCCTATCACCTCTAGGCTGCATGGGTCAGGTCTCAAGACTGGCAAAATCCTCAAAAGGATTTCAATTATCAGCCTTGGGGACCGAACCCTGGAGAACTAGTAAGAAAATCTACAGTCCAGGGCACAAGAACCCTTTCAGAAGGTTAGTTAGTTAGTCTGGCTGAAAAGAGACAAAAGTCCATCCAGTTCAACCGTTAGAGAAAAGAAAAAAAGTTGTAATCCTACATCCACAGTTGATCCAGAGGAAGGCAAGAAAACCCAGCAAAGCATGACCCAATTTGCTCCTGCAGGGGAAACAATTCCTTTCTGATCCCCTGAGAGGCAATATTCCCTGGATCAACTTTACGTATAAATGTTAGTATCCAGTTATATTCTGTGTATCCAAGAAAGAATCCAGGCCATTTTTAAAGCAATCCACTGAGCTGGCCAGAACCAACTCTTGAGGGAGTGTATTCCACATTTCCACAGCTCTTACTGTGAAGAAACCTTTCCGTGTTTGAAGATTAAATTTATTTTCCTCCAGACATAAAGAGTGCCCCCTTGTCCACTGTGATGACTTCAGGATGAATAACTCTACACCGAGTTCACTATATGAACCACTGATGTATTTATACATGTTGATCATATCTCCCCTTAATCTCCTCTTCTCAAAAGAAAATAAATTCAGTTCTTCTAATCTTTCCTCATAGCTGAGCTCCTCCATGCCTCTTATCAGTTTGGTTGCCCTTCTCTGTACTTTCTCCAGTTCTCCAAAGTTCTTTTGTGAATTGGTGCCCAAAATTGAACTGCATATTCCAGATGAGGTCTTACTAATGATTTGTACAGGGGTAAAATGATATCTCTCTCTCTGGAGTCTATACCTCTTTTATACAAGAGAGGATTTTGCTCACTTTAGCTTGGTGTCATCTGCAAAGACTGAAATGGGATTTTTACTCCCAGACCCTATATCGTTTATAAATATATTAAAAAGTAAGGGCCCCAACACTGAATCTTGGGGTACTCCACTAACAACCCTAGACCATGCAGAGTATTAATCATTAACCACTACTCTCTGAATACAAACTTTTAGCCAGTTTTCTATTCATTTACGATTGGGAAAACAGCAAAGCATACAATTCTGGATAAAATGGCAAAAATTGCAACGCACAAAAGCAATGTAATAAAAAAGTATGGGGGAGTCTGTCCTTGAAGAAAGTATGCTAGTCTTAGCCCATGCTTAAAGTATTACTAAACTCACAACAGTAAAATCAGTCTGTATATGCAGTAAAGCATGCTTGTTATACTCACTGTGGAACCTAAGAGGTTACTCCTCTGCATTGTTTAAAAATGCTCTTTGATCCTGACTTTTCTGATTTTCCCCTTCTTCCAGCGTCCCCCTCTTATCTCCTTATGATAAGGCATATCATGGCGACACTCTGCATATGCTCAGTTTGGTGTGTATTACTAGAGAGGGGTCTTTTTTCTTGGGAGAATGCATGTGATCAGCACAGGGCCAATTGACATTGTCCAGACAGAAGTCAGGGGTTCTGCATCCTCCTAGACCAGAAAAAACTCCTCCTCCAAGCTTTTACCAGTGCTCTGCTGAACACTGATAGAAGTCTCAAGACTGCTCTAACTACTGATGAGAAAAGGTATTTAGCTGTTTATATTTACTAAAATAATTGAATTTTTATGTAGTGTGTACTGTGGGAGACCAGAGTGAATGCAGGGTCCAGGGTTTAGTAACACTTTAATGGTCCCTGCTACCAATGCATTTGTTAACACATATTCTTGCTCCACTGCACAACAACATTCTAATATGCTCAGAAAAAAATGTTTAATGAAATCTATGTGGGTTACACGGTCTATAGAAAACAAATGTACATAGTAGGGATTTATGAATTCTGCAATGACACTATGTTACTGAAGAAAAAAAACTCCACATATGATAGCATTTGAGTTAAATGCCATTCATTAAAGCAATAAGGTTCCTGTATTGCCATGGTAAGCTCTCTGTAAAATTAATGTATGATTTTTCAGTTGTCTTTCTAATCAATATTCCCTGTACATAAAATGCTACAACACTTCTTTCCTGACAGCTCCATGTCAGCACAGCTCAGTGAGGGCCCTGCCCCCCAATAATTCCAGGACCTAACTCGTAAATTTGAGCCCACGTGCAGCCTTAGTGTTCCTCTTTTTTCCTCCCATGTGCAGGACCTAGGTGTGCTCCTCTACCTGGCCGGTCTAAAAGGCTGGCTGTCCGCGCATGCGTGTTGGTTTCAGCTGGACGTGGTCCTTGGTGTACTGGCTAAATGAGCCCCGCTGCTGGTCCTTGGGGCGGCTTTTATCACGGCTAACAGCCTTGTCTGGGGTTCCCTGGATAAATGTGAAGTGGGCAGCGGCGTAAGAAGAGTCTCCAGCCATGCACACCTGTGCAGTGCCAGTGTTTACAGTCGGATGGCGGAGGTTGGATGAGCTAAATGTAAAAATGCTTTGTATCCAAATGAATGCTGCATTGCTGATATTGTTGTGCCTTGTTCCCTGCCGCTGCTGTGCACACGCTGAGCTCCTCCAGAGACAGTAATCTGTATAATAGGTGAACAAAATAATACTTTGTCTGTTCATACATGGCATTACCTGTTGGTGGCATCTCATATTTGCTTTACTATTTTGTCATTATGCCAACCCCTCAAAAGACCAGCATTCCCAGAAAAGGTAGAGGAGTCGCCTGTGGATGACTACCATAGCCAGCATTGTCTGTTGGAGTATAGGAAATCCCTTTAATATATGGATGTGGTCTCCAGTTTCTCAAAAAAAAAAGAAGGTCTTTATGTCGTCAACAATTCCCTTGGATGGCTTGTGTACATTGCAGAATATTATTGTAATTCTGATGCAGATTCCTACCTTTTTGTTGCTTTTCTTAACAAAACATTTTCATCATGTCCTGTTCTCTGGCAGGGCAAGGTTTAGTTCATTAACTTGTTGCCGACCGCAGATAGCCGAATGACAGCTGCACTGCGGCCGGCCAGTTCTGAGTGGACGTCATATGACGTCCTCCCAGAACGCGCTCTCCTGCGCGCCCCAGGGGCCACGCACCCGGCGATCTCTGTGATCGCTGTGTCCTACGGACACAGCTGATCACATGATGTGGTAAAAGGCCAATCACAGCGGCCTTTTACCACGTGATCAGCGGTGTCCAATGACACGCTGATCAGAGGGAAATGCAAGTGCCGGTTCTCGGCTGCACTTTCCTCACGCTGTCAGGAAAGTATCGGCAGTTGTCAGAGCGAGGATCGGCACCGATCATCAGGGCACTGATGATCAGTGCCCTGCTGATCGGTGCCCAGCAGTGGCACCCGCAAGTTCCGCCCACCTGTGCCCAGCAGTGCGCCCACTAGCTCCGCCCACCTGTGCCCAGCAGTGCCCACCTGTGCCCAGCAGTGCACCCACCTGTGCCCAGCAGTGCACCCACCTGTGCCACTCTGCAGTGTCACACACCTGTGCCCAGAAGTGCCACCTACCTGTGCCCAGCAGTGCCACCCACCTGTGCCCACCCACCTGTGCCCACCAGTGCCACCCACCTGTGCCCACCCACCAGTGCCCCCACCAGTGCCACCCACCAGTGCCACCCACCAGTGCAGCCCAGCAGTGCTGCCAGTCAGTGCCACCAGTCAGTGTCCAGCGGTTGTGCCAGTCAGTGCCGCCAGTCAGTGCCCAGCAGTGATGCCAGTCAGTGCTGTCTATCAGTACCCATCATCAGTGTCACCTATCAGTGCCGCCTATCAGTGCTGCATATTAGTGCCGCCTATCCGTGACACCTCATTAGTGCTGTCTATCAGTGCCGCCTATCTGTGCTACCTCATTAGTACTGCCTATCAGTGCCCTTTAGTGCTGCCTATCAGTGCCCATCAGTGCCGCCTATCAGTGCCCATCAGTGCTGCCTCATCAACGCACATCAGTGAAGGAGAAAAATTACCTGTTTGAAAAATTTTAGAATAGAAACAAAGAAACTTTTTTTTTTTTTTTTCAAATTTTTTGCACTTTTTTTATTTATAGCGCAAAAAGAAAGCTCTATTTGTGAGAAAAAAATGATCAAAATTTCATATGGGTACAATATTGCATGACCGTGCAATTGTCAATCAAAGTGCGGCAGCGCTGAAAGCTGAAAATTGGCCTGGTAAATAAGGGGGTATAAGTGCCTGGTAGGCAAGTGGTTAACCACCTGGCAACTTTAGGGCTATGGTTGGAAGCTTTAGGGCTCGTTCACACTTGGCTGTTTTACCAACGCTTGCCAAACGCCCCTATAGCGTTTGGCAAGCGTTGGTCCGGTTTTTGCGGAGCGTTTTTTAACGCTCGGCAAACGCTCTGCAAATGCCGCATGCGCGGTTTAACGGAGGTTCCTAGGCGTTTGCCGAGCATTAAAAACGCCCCACAAACGCCTATAATGCAGTTTGAATGGTGTTACCACTCCACAAACGCCCCGCAAATGCGTCGCAACCGCACTGCAAACGCCCGGCACCATAGACTAGAATAGGAGCCTTCAACGCCTCCTGACTCGACCAGAGGCATCCGTTTTGCCGTGATGTGACGCAAACGCTCCCGTTAGAACAGCACCATGTGCTGTAATGTGCAGAATTGGCAGAGGCGTTTGGGAAGTGGTAAAAATGCTTCCCAAATGCCTCTCTGCCGCCTGCACACAACGCTAGTGTGAACGTAGCCTAAGTATCGGCATCCCTTTAGCAGTGGTTAACCCTTTCGGGTTTGTTACTAAGCAAGCTATTTTCTACTTCATTAACTTATTGGTGGGGGTTAGCTGCTTTAGGCAGAAAGCAAAACCCTGTGGAAGGATTATCTAGTCTGGCAATGAGCAGTCTCAGAGCTTTCCCAAGTAAGACAACCCTCTTCAGACTCTTCAAAAAAAAGAAGACACAGGTAAACATGACTGTAAGTGTTTCACTCACTTTTGAAGGGGTTATGTGTTCTAACAAGGAGCAGTCTCATAGCCTTCCCAGGCAGAACAGCCTCTTCAGACTCTCCAACGGGGAAAAGACAAATAGACATGACAATATGAATCTTGTTTGTTCAAGTAACCACAAAAGAGGATGATGACACCCAACACATTGTCACACGGAGGAGGTCTCTAAGGTCTTCACTGAAGCCCACCTCACCACTTGCCCAATGGACCCTATACCCTCACAGCTCCTCCAGTCACCCCCTCCTCCATCATTCACTCTCCTCATCCACATCTTCAATCTCTCCCTCTCCACTGGCACTTTCCCCTCCCCTCTAAAGCACGCACACATCACCCCCATACTCAAAAAACCCTCCCGTGACCCCACTGACCTAAACCTTAGACCCATCTCCCTGCTACCATTCACTTCCAAGCTCCTTGAGCGCCTGGCCTACAATCGCCTAAGCACCCACCTCACTGATAACAACCTCCTTGATCCACTACAGTCTGGCTTCCGTCCCCTACACTCCACCGAAACTGCTCTACTTAAAATCACCAACAACCTGCTAACCGCCAAAGCTAATGGCCATTACTCAGTCCTCCTGCTCCTTGACCTCTCTGCGGCCTTCGACACAGTCGACCACCCTCTCCTCCTTACTAAACTGCACTCCCTTGGCATCAGGGACGCTGCTCTCTCCTGGTTCTCCTCCTATCTATCCCAACGCTCCTTCAGTGTCATCTATAACACTGCCACCTCCCCCTCTCTCCCCCTCTCTGTTGGAGTCCCCCAAGGCTCTGTCCTCAGACCCCTCCTCTTCTCCATCTACACCTCCTCCCTTGGCAAACTAATACACTCCCACGGCTTCAATTACCACCTCTATGCCAACGACACACAAATTTACCTCTCCACCCCCCACCTCAGCCCCTCACTCTCCACCCACATCGCCCACCTCCTGAACGACATATCAGACTGGATGTCGCTCCATTTCCTCAAATTAAACCTGTCCAAAACTGAGCTCCTGGTCTTTCCCCCAGCCCACGCAGTGGCGTTGCTAGTAGTGATGGAGAGGATGGGGGGCATCCTCTCCATCACTACTAGCAACGCCACTATCACTCCCACCCCACATGCCAAAGTCCTGGATGTCACCCTGGACTCAAACCTTTCCTTCCAACCTCATGTCTAATCACTATCAAGGTCATGCAGGCTCCACCAACATCTCCAAGATACGTACATTCCTCACCCTAGACACTACTAAACAACTCGTACACTCCCTCATCATCACGCCTGGACTACTGCAACTCCCTTCTCACTGGCCTACCCAAACAAACGCTATCCCCACTCCAGTCGATCCTGAACTCAGCGGCGAGACTCATCCACCTCACCAACTGCTCCACATCTGCCACCCCCCTCTGCCAATCCCTTCACTGGCTCCAGATTGCCCAGCGCATCAAATTCAAATTGCTAACTCTGACCTACAAAGTCATTCACAATGCCACCCCCCAAACTACCTAACCGACCTGATACCCAAATACCACCCTACCCGTGCCCTTCACTCCTCACAGGACCTCCTACTCTCTAGCTCCCTGGTCTCCTCCTCCCACGCCCGATTGCAGGACTTCTCCAGGACTTCCCCCATCCTCTGGAACTCCCTACCCCAATCCATCAGACTGTCACCTACCCTCCTCATCTTCAGGCGCACCCTGAAAACCCATCTCTTCAGGGAAGCCTACCCCACCCTCACCTAATAATCTGATCTCCTCCACTTCTCCACCCACAGCCACTTCCTCCTGTACCACTTTCCCCTCCCTCCTAGATTGTAAGCTTGAAAGAGCAGGGCCCTCGAACCCCTCGTGTATTGTTGTCAGGGCTCCCGGGTATGACCAGAGGTGTGTGACTGACGCAGGGAAACGCAGACTTCAGATATGTTATAAACAATACGATTTATTAACACTAACAATACAAACATAAACGCAGTGCAATACTAAACATAATACAGTGCAAACAAACCCAACCAAACCACCCACAGATAACAGTACAAACAATGCAAGCGTCGTCAGGCAGGCCGGGTCAATATGAATCGGGCAGATAGGTACAGGGGGAGCAAGCGGAGAATGGTCGGGGTCACAAGCCAGGGTCAGCAGGTAGCGGGCAGCGTGGTACAGAGGGTCAGGCAGAGGGATGGTCAGGAACGAGCCGGGGTCAGAGCAGGAGAAGTCAACAGAGGTATAGATCAGGCCAGGTCAGCAACAAGACAGGAACAGGAACAGGAATAGGAACAGGAACAGAAACAGGAAGCAGGAACAGGATACAGGGCCCAGGAAAAACATACACCAAGGCAGAGTCTGCAGGTCTGGCCATCCCTTAAATACACCAGTATAATTAGTTCCAGGTGTTTGACTGGCTGCAAGGTTGAGTCTCTGATTGCTGGGAGCACCCGCTGGCCAGCCCTGGTACTGCAGCTCATAAGGCAGGTGAGTCCCACTATTGCTGGCCAGTCCATTCCTGACAATTGTATTGTTACCGTCTTGGCTCATGTTCTGTCCCCCTTGCTACTGTACAGTGCTGAGCAAACCCTTTGGCGCTATATAAATAATAATAATTCATTAAGTGGCCAGTGCACTCAAAGGGAGTTTTTTCCACTCACTCTGACAGGGTTATATGTTCTTGCGAATAAAAGTCTCATAGCCATGCCAGGCAAGACAGCCTCTTCAGACTCTATGAAAAGGAAGAGGCGAACGAGCATGACTATGTATCCTGCTGGTTTAAGCAACCAGGGATAGAGAGGACACCTAACAGGATGTCCCATTCAATAAACTCAATACACTAAAGGAATGTTTCCATTTACCCTTTGAAGAGTTATCTGCTTGGCAATGAGAAGCTGCCTAGTCTTCCCAGGTGAAGCATCCCTCTTCAGAGTTTCCAAAGAGGACGATGTGGACTGACATGACTGCACGAATACTGCTTTGTTCGAGCAACCAAGGATAAAGATGACACCTAACAGGTTGTCACATGAGGCTAATACACTCTAAAGGAATATTTTCATTCACACTGGGAAAGGGTTATCTGTTCTATCAATGAGCAGTCTCCTAGCCTTTCAGGTAAACAATCCTCAGAATCTTCTACAAGAAGATTCAGGTGAGCATGACTGTGAGCCCTGCTGACTCAAGCAACCAGGGATAAAGAAGTTGACACCTAATAATTTATCACATTCATTGGCTATGTTGTCAATACATTCTAAAGGAGTTGCTTTCACTCACCTTGTGAAGGGGTCATATATTCTGCCAATCAGCAATCTCAGAACCTTCTCAGTCAAATCAACCCTTGCCAGATTTGTCCAAAGAACATGTGGACAAACATGACTGTATGATTCCTGCTTTGTTTATGTAGACAGTGATTAAAATGATGGTGACCAAGTTGTCACAATTAATTAAGGATGTGTTTAAGCCACTCTAAAACAATTGCTGAATTCACCTTCTGCAAGGGCCATCTATTCTGGCAATGTCCAGTTTTCCAACATTACTCGTCTCAGAGCCTTCTCAAGCCAATCAATCCTCATCAGTCCCTTCTGAACAAGAAGATGAGAACGACCTTTGTCCAGGCTGTTGATACCTCCTTTTGTAAGGTTTATCAAATTCTTTTAAATAGAAGCATGTGGAAGTATTTCAAGTGCCTCCAGAACTAACAGTGCCTATAGTAGAATATGACATAAATTCACAGGATTGCTGCTGATCAAGGTTTTTCACTGGGCTCTTCAAGTCTGCCACATTCTGAAGTTT